ATACGATTCACAGATATATGGCTTAACTTTCTGAGAAACGGTCGGTCACAAGCAGTACAGAATAACCTTCAACAAGAAAACAACCAATCAGAAGACAATGCTTCTCCTCTGACAATAATGTACATAAAAATCTATAAATACCTCCTGATTTTCTCGATAAACGATCTGTTGTCTGGCCCTTTCGTTCTGTTGTTGCACTACTTAGTGCTGTTATCGCTCGGTTTGTAAGATACTTAACAAGTAAGCCAACCTTCACGAACGGATAACGGGATGGGATGAATTAAAGAAGTCTAAATATCTATTGGCAGAATGATTTGGTTCCCTGTTTTATAAACGCCACTAGTGTGCAGTTTACCTTCTTCCATTCGTTTTATTTTAGAATCTAATATGATAGCTAATTCTCCTTGTTAATTTTCCGTTTCAAATGTGAATTTCATTCCCTTTACTAGTGAGTTTATGCGCATGTGTGTGTGTGTGTGAAGAAGCAAGAGATATGTTCTGTTTTTAACACTGCGAAAGTGTCATTCACATATCTCCGCCATATTTTTGGAGTAGGATTAATAAATGTATTAAAGGAAATGAGGAAACAGGTATAAAATGGACTCACACAAAAAACTTGGAGGATCTGGACTTCGCCGATGATATATGTTTGACTTCCAACAAACTGGAAGATATGCAAGTGAAAAGCAACAAGTTGGCGATAGAAGAAGCATCACAGATAGAACTTCAGGTTAACATAGAGAAAACAGAGGTGATAAAGATTCCTGGCCAACAGCAGCAGCCATAGCAACAGCAGCAGACAACAACCAGCCAGCATAAATGGTAGGAACCTGAAAGAAACAACCTCGTTTACCTACCGACCTAAGTGGCATCGGAACGAAATGACGAGGATACAAAAGGAAGAATCGGAAAAGCAAGACAAGCTTTCATTACTCTTAAGTCTGTGTGGAGGTTAACAGCACTCGGCATCAAAAATAAGATCCGAATTTTCAACTCCAACGTGAAATCAGAGCTACTCACTATAGAGATCAGAGACTTGGCCAGCACGTATAAAGAGCATCTCAAACAAACTTCAGACCTTCATTAACAGTTGTCTTCGTTCAATACTACTCAAGGTCAGATGGCCGACCAGAAGAGATCAGCAACAGGGATCTCTGGTAATGAGCGAACCAACCAAGAGGGAACCGATTGTGAAACAAATAGGCAAGAAGAAATGGAGATGGATTCGTAGCCATACTCCACATCACCAGACAAGCCCTTGATTGGAACCCGACCGAATAAGAAGCGGCTAGTTGGTCGTCAGTGCAAGGTTGACTTGGAGGAGGTCATGTGAGGAGGAGGAGATGAAAGTGTGTGGGCAGACTTGGAGCCAGGTGAAAACGTTGGCAGAGAACCGAATGCAATGGAGACTTGAGCGGCTGAAACCCTATGTATGCTCTTCTAGGAATTAAAGGAAATAATATCATAATTAAGAGCAATAATTTCCCAGCTATCATCCATAAAGATATCTGCTACGATAGGGGATATTAGGGATGCATCCCATTGCTACACCTTCTGTTTGTCTTTATACATAGTTTGCCCAATTCTTGATATGGTAAACAGAAATTGTCCAATACACAATAAAATGACAACGACAATGATGAAAAGAACCAGAGAACTTTGAATCAAATTATTATTATTATTATTATAATTATTATAATTTTAATTGTTTTTTATTAGATTTTTATAGCAAAATGTGTGTGTTTGTGTGTGAGAAAGTGAGCGAGTGAGTGAGTGGGTTAGAAAAAGAGAGAAAAACTCAAACTAACCAACTAACTAACAAAAGAAAAAAAACACACACACCAACAAACGATACAATATTCATTACACATCATTAACAGAGGGAGAGTTAAATCCTCTCTCTTCGCCCCTCCCCCACCACCACCACCACCACCACCACCACCCAACCTCTCTAGTCAGAATTGTACTTCTTTTCAAGTATTGAGCAGATTTGTGAAACAAACAAAGTGAGACAGACAGATAGAGAGAGAGAGAAACCAAAAAAGGATCTATGTATACGGGTGAATCATGATCAAATATTACAGAGTGTTAAGCAGGGTTTTGTTCTGGAACACTCTACTTTTGATCACCTCACTACTACTACTACTACTTGTACTACTAATAGTGCTACTGCGACTCACGACATTCCCTTCCTTCCTTCCTCGAGTCGGATCAATCGGCCAGTCAGCGACACATACACACATACATACATACATACAACACCACAGATCGCCAATACACCCATATGGTCCTCCTCTATGACTGATATACACAGTGTATGTATACAATTAACAAATAATCTAGACAGGAACTACAAAATCAGGAGTTTATAAAGACAGACTTACAGAGAGGGACCGGAGGAAGGTGGGGATTACATCATATTAAATGTGACAAGAGAAAGACAGAGTGAGAGTGAGTGAGTGAATGAGTGAGTGAGCTAGTAATGAACTTATGCAGCCCTCACACACACACACACATACACACACCCACACATATACACACACACTCAAGGGAGAGAAGATGTAGAAGAGAAATTAAAGAAATAAAGAAACAGACGGAAGAAATGTGTAATTAACACGCTACAATCTAATCTTCACACAGGATGGTGTCTTTTTGTTGGTGATGTAATAGAAGGTGGTGAGAAAATGAAGGAAATAAAGGCAGAATGGGAGTGAATTAATGAGAGGAAAATCGGTCGAAGTGTTTAGTATAGTAAAGTATGGTATAGTGTACAAAAAAACGGAATATTAATAATAATAATATTAATGACAATAATCATAATAATAATGAAGATTAATGAATACTGTCAAATGTGCAGGAAATTATAGAAAAACAAAGACAAAAAGAAAAATATATGAAGACACTACTGCTTTAGAAACTACTATTACTACTATTACTCTTCTATATGTATATACTACTTATTATATACTACTAATAGTAGTATTTTATTTTTTTTCTCGTGATTTATGCTTCCCCTTCATTTGAGTATTATGAAATGAGAAATTACAAGGAAAAATAAATCGCTTCTTTAGAACAGAGTCCATCATTCATGCAATTACACACACACACACACAAACAAACACAAACACACACAAGAATACACATTAGTGAGCAATTGAATTATTAATATTGTAATTATTGTTAATTGGTCATCATTAAAATTCCATTTGCTTCATTTTGTTTAATTAAAATATAATCAAGGTCAAGGTATGGCGGGAATGTTAATGTGAAGGTGTATCAGTGTGTGTGTGTGTGTCTGTGTTAACATGCATGATAGCATGACTTTCAAATGTATATTTCTCTAAGAAATTAAATTATACACATGTACACACTTATTCATACGTTTTGTTTAAATTGATACTGTTCAAGGTCATTCGATTCAATGTCTCAATGAATCAACCAATGATAATGGTGATAGTTGTTCTTACCTTTAAAAATAGTGCCAAATGAATTTTGAATGAAAATAGTAAGAATCAATGAGATAGCGAGAGAGAGAGAGAGAAAATCATCTTGATTTAAACCGGAGTAAATGATGGTGATGGTGATGATGATCATGAATGAATGAAACTGTGAGTGTTAGTAGTGGTGGTGATAATTAGTCGGGATGATGGGCACCAAAGTAAGGGGGAGGTGCATTACATTGCAATTATTGATCAATTCAAACTTGTGTGCTGATTAATAATAAATGGCATTAACAACAGCAGCAGTAATAGTAGTAGTTGTAGTATTAGTTTTAGTAGACTCAAACTGAGATCTCAGATCAAAAAATAGGAAGGGGTAAGCAGATCATCCTTTTATTGATTAATTCATCGAAAAATAAAGAGGATACACCTTTAACTAATAAAAATACAAACATGATTTGTGAGAAAAAAGGTGTGTGTGTGTGTGGCGGGAGGGAGAAAAATCGGTAACAAATTAAGCAAATCTACAGGCTAGATACAGTTTAGTAGGTACTTTGAATACGAGGGTGATGATGATGATGACGATGGCACTCTAAATGAAGATGAGTGTTATATTTGATGAAATGGTCTCTTGTGTTGTCTACAACGACGTATGTCTGTCGTCGTGTGAGGGTGTTTGTGTGTGTGTGTGTGGGGGGGGGGGTTGTTAATTGATGAAGTGACGGAAAGAATCAGACTAAATAGGATGACAAAGTAAGTCATCTATCCTCTCACTCAACATCTGTCTCTCTCTCTCTCTCCTTCACTCTGAAAGACGAAAGTGATAACAGACACACACACACACACACCCATAGGGAAAGAAAGAATCCGTGAATATACACCAAATGAACAGCAAGGTTAAATCCCGATCATGAAGATATGTTGCAAAAAACCAAAACACCACAAAACAAACAAACGAACAAACAAAGAATCAATCGTGAAAACACATTTTTCTCCAAAAACAACTCCACACTGAATCATCATCATATGAGATCAATTGTGTTTGTATTTTTATGAGAATTGTTCTGATTACAATAGGGACAAACGCACACACACACACACACTAACAAACAAGTGGATCAAGTACAAAGTTCATTTTATATTGATAATCTTGTTATAATTTTGGTCCGCTTACAAATTATAATACTAATAATAATATTAATAACAGTAGTAATAATATCAAAAATTAACAAACTGTTCCTGTAACTGATGTGGAAAAGGGACGGGGAGAGTGCGTGTCAGAATTAGTGCGTGTATGTGTGTGTGTCAGTCGGTTGGGAGCCTGTGACTGCTGCTCTGATTAATAATCAAAATGATGAATATTATAGTGTAGATTTCATTAAAAAATAGAACTGTCGGGTTGGTTGGGGGAGAGGGGGATTTTATTACTGTTCTTGAAGACGTCTACGATGATGATGACGGTGTATGCAGGTGTGAGAAGACAATGGGGAAGATATGCTAATAGAAGTTGTGAAAAAAGATGGAGTTATTGTTTTTATTATTATTATTATTGTCAATAGGTTATCCTTTACTCTTTTTCTTCTTATGTCCATCACGTGATCGTAGTAATTTCATTAACACTTTGAATTCTTTCGTTGTTGTTGGTGTTATTGGCGTTGGTGTTATCGTCCACGGGAAAGACAGACGTAGAGAAGGGAAAAATAAACAAAAAAAACACAATCAGGTAAATAGAGGGAATATGGCAACATCAGAAAGTATAAAAAAGAGACTAGACAACACACTCAAGTGACCTTGAATCAACCAATGATATCTCTTTGATTCAATTTTATATTTTCCTATCGATTGAATGGGACGAAGGGCTGCTCAGTAGAGTTCTTGTGCATATGCTTTGACAATGTATGGTTGTCAACTGGCGGAAAGTGACTACCAGGTACATCCAGTTGGTGGACCAGTCTCATATAGGACGAAATGCGCATCCTGACTGGATTCCACTGCTAGTCACCATCCACCAATTGACTTCAAGTCACATGACCAGAACATCGTCGAAGCATCTGCAAAAAGAGCCGACATGTTAACCCTGAGACCGAGCAGCACTTCAATTCAACCAATCGACAGGAAAATCTAAAAGTGAACTGAAGAGATATGATTGGTTGATTCAAGGTCATTTGACTGCGGTTGTTGGGATTATCATTATTATTAATCCTAAAGTTTTACATCACTAATGGTAGCTAGCATGCTCGCTAACCACGCATGTATGTGGTCTGAGATTCGAGTACCGGCCGACGAAAAACGCACTCCTAAATCTCGCGATTACCTTGGTAAAGAAGCATCCCCGCTACCGAAACTTCGAACCTCGAACTTGAAGTTCTGTGTTCCCCTAGGAACACAAAGGAATGGAAACACAATGGCTCAACATCTATATCCCTCTAGTATATTTAGACGTTGTTCTACAGTGGAAGTCGTTGAAGTGATATAATCAGCTGACATAACACGGCGACTGATTGCCGCTAGCTCGATTCCTGTAAGGATTGAGTTTCTCCATTCCATATTTACCAAATACCCGTCTAGAAAATAGAATATGTGGATTTTAGAAAATACTATCTTGGTCCAAATGAATATTCTCCTCGTTCACTACCGTATATTCAGGATCATAAACTTGCAGTCAAAAGACACCAACATGCCTTCAATTAAATATATCAATTCATGTGGACAACTACGGATATGAAATTCAACTGGGGCAATGTAAAAATATATTAGAGGTGGCTGCAGGCAATCAGCAGGAAACCTTGCCTGACCTAGGTTTCATGCTAGTTAGCACTCACCAGTCAGTCAGCAAGGCGTACTTGTAACGCTGAAGGAAGTCATATTCCCTTCGCTGTTGAAACTCGCATCAGTCACTACTGAAGTCAGAGATGTTACTACCACTGAGCTGTTCAGGCTCGGGATTGACCTTCTGCACGAATGTATTGGATTGCATCAAACACACAACACCAGTTAACTGGTGTCCAATCAAAAATATCCAATACAGACACGTACAGGAAGTCAATCACGAACCCGAATAACTCAGTGGTAACCTCTCTGACTGCAGGATGGACTGGGTGACGCGGGTTCGAATCTCAGAAGCGACATGAGTTCCTTTAAGGTGATTGGTTAGTGGAAACAAGAACACTAAACCTAGGTCAGGTAAGGCCAATTCCCTACAACCATCTTAAATACTTTAAAGCAAATATAAGCAACATGTTGGGTTTCTAGAGGTTGCTAGAGGAGGAGTCTTCCTTGAATTAAGAAATTCAGCATGTTTATTTCAAATGTATTCGTCAATGTAATTATAAAAATTACAACCATGTAGACCATTATGCAAACGGTTATTTGATTGCTGGTTGCTAGCTATGGAAATCCAGGAGGGGCATATCCCCGCCCTCACAGTGATAGTGTTCACATACTGAGATTAGAAAACCACTCGCCATTAGACCATTTGATTACGGGAGGTTATTCTTGTGTATTGGATTTCAGTGCCACTTGTATTCTCCACTCAGTGGGAAAACAGTCACCATTCACAGGATACGCAAGTACATCTAACTGCAGAGTCACAGATAAGACGAAATGGGTGTTCTAAGTTCCACTAATAGCGAGTAATATTATCAATAAAATACATACTTAATATATTATTGGCATCGAGAGGTAACTACTCAAAACCTCATAGTCTGGACGCCTAAACCGAAACAGGTAGCCGCTGTCTCAAGGAGCCACATACCCCCTCACCCATAAACCTTCGACTTGAAGTCTAATTCGTAAGGCAGTGGAGTAGTGTCTGCAGCTACATTACTACGAGGTTAATGCTGACCAAAACTGGTTCATACGCAAGTCTGACCTTTCTATCCGCTCGGATTCTGGAGCCAATATACATCATAGGTTTGGAATCAGAGTTTCCCCGAGTGCCCACCAAGCCAGTTGCAATCGCCAGACGCTTACAGTCACTCTTCGACTTTTGTAAGGAACACCTCCACAGGCATAAACTAAATGACATTATAGAGACCTTCAGACATCATCGAAGCGTTCGTACTAGGTTGGTAGGGAGTGTGAGCGACATGACACCACAGGGACTAACTATTTCAATCAAATATAATCTAAACATGAATCAATTAAAATATCATAAAATTTCATATTCCGTCTTAACTTCCACATCAAGAAGTTAAGACATTCTGGAATAACCCAACCCAACCCTTACACTTACGATTCATTAACTCCCGTATTCTGCCTATTATTCCACACTGTCCCCCCCCTTAGTTTTTCCAGGACTACTGAAGAAAGACTTTACCTTATTACGCAGGATGTTAAAGGTTGTCAACATGGTAAGCCACAGGGTGCCACTTAACCAGCTTGTTATTATTCTGGTTGACAGGCACTTGGACCCATGTGAAAAATGGGCTAAATCCATTCTATCTATCTAACTCACACCACCACCCTCTTCACTCACAACTCTCCCCTTGTATCTATCTCATCAGGCAGGCAGAACCAGAAGCCTATATAGAAAGCCTATATGCTCGCACTAGCAGGTACAAAAACTCAACCACACATACCCTACTTGGTTGGCTCGTGTTCTGTGCGATAAAGAAAGCATTAGGCGTGATATCTATAACTTATTAAATAGTCAGTAGAACAATATTTGGATCTCATCTTTCCAACTCATATCATTTATAGGTACAACGTTTTCTTTCTTTCTTTTCCTTTTCTCTCTCTTTTTTCTCTGTTATGTGCTGTTCTTGTCTCTCTCTTCCTTACGAACTCTATTTAAAACATTCTTCTTCGTCCTTTCACAGACTCTGTATATCTCGACCTTTTTGTTACCGATTACGCCAATAAATATGCTACCATCTACTTTTCTAACACCTTCAAACACTGGCCTGTTCAATTTTTGGCCTTGCTACCGACATGCCAATATGTTGTTGGCATAATGAACTGAGATGACCCTTAATCTATGTAGAATTTTATTTTATTGATAATGTACTAACTGGATGCAATACTGTATGTAGTGAAATGCTGAGAATTCCATTCTGTATCACAAGTACTATTTTGGAATAAAGCAAAATTATTATTATTATTAAAAAATTTTCTTCATTTTTACCTTCAAAATCAACTAATCCATCTTGATCCAGATCAGCTTCTCTAATCATTTCGCGGACTTCATCATCAGTCACAGCTTCACCTAGAAAGTGCATTGTCCGTTTGATTTCACCGAAATCAATAACAGAATCACCATTTTGATCAAATACCTTTTAGGTAAGAGCACAAATAAAAAGAGAAAACAAGGTTAAAAAAAGGTGAGTTTAACACAAAATTGAAATTCACATTTTTCTATGTGATTAAATGTCTGGGAAGGCGGCAGGACCAGATGGAATTCTCCCAACCCGAAGCAGATATGCCCACACCATTATTGTAAAAGGTTTGTAAAAGGAAGGAAAGCTGCTTAAATATCGGTAGAAAGGCTGGCTACCTTGTCAAGCTACCGAAAAGAGGTGACTTACGCCACTCACTACAAGAACTAATCGGTGGAGAATGATGTTCTTGTCCACGCCAAATAAATAAAAAATGCACTGGATACAGGACTACGCCATTCCCACCGGAATAAGTTGGATTCAGGGAAGGCAAGTCATGTGGTGGTTATCAAATCGCGAGTCTACGCATCGTCGTCACAGAACAGAGCATAGAATCTCAGTCAAACCCCTACACCAGTTACATGGACTTGAAAAAGGCCTTCGGCAATGCAGCGTTGACAGGGAAGTAATTTGGAAACTACTTCGAAGCTACAACGTGCAGTGCTCAATTCTTTACCAACGTCATTCAACAGCTGGCTATATAACAGTGCCATAGGTCAAGTGATCTACAACGGGAAACTCAACGAGGCGTTCGAAGTGAGCTAGGTAGAAAACATATTACTGGTTGTTGATATGAGTAGTACATAGTTTTACACAACAAAAATATTGGTCAGGTGGTAAACATGTTTGTCTCGTAACGCGTTTTCAACACCTAGTGGAGTCAAGTGTGTGTGTGTGTATAACTGAAGAGTACCCAAACTAGGACAAACCAGCTGTTTGACTGTGATATGCTGTCAGTTCACAAGGAAACCAATTCATTCCAATATACCATGGCGGAGTGATATACCGGGTTATAAGTTCGTCTAACTTTCTCGACTGGAATGTGCCTCGGAAACACAACGCATCAAAATCAGATGACCGCTTGGAATTATATTTCCCACAATGAGGCAGACTTGGAAAAATGACGACCAAAACGATAACAATCTTTTGATGTGGTTTTGTTCTCTGAGCTGGATAGTTAGTTTGCGAAGCTTTCATCACCTTACTGGGTGACATCTTCAGCGCATACTTCAAATTGAAGTGAGCTTTTAGGTTTCTCCACGAGTTTATTAATCATTCCTCCTGGTGACCTTGGACGTGATTGGTTGTTTATGTATGTTTTCACACCTTCTAGGTTACTTGTGTTGGAACTGATTGTTTCTGTGACTTGAACTTTGGCCAATCGTGTGTGAAGTTTCTTTCTTATTGGTTGATAAATTTTGTCTATCTCGATGTGTCTATTGATTGATGATTCACTGGAATGCCAAGCTTCTAAAAATTCTCTAGCATTCTTGTTATTTCCTTTGTCTAATATTTGAACGTTGTCCCAGTCGAATTGATGTCCGTGGTTGTCTGTGTGTAGTGAAATGAGGGAGTGTATATCATGTCTTTTGACGGCTAGCTTATGTTCGTGGATACGAAGACGAAGGGGACGTCCACTTTGGCCAATGTAGTGTTTTTCACAGTTGTTACAGTTTATTTTGTAGATGATGTTGGTTTTGTCTTCTTTTGCTGTTGAGTCTTTTGGTTGACATAGAATTGAGTGCAGCGACTTTGTTGGTTTGTGTACGACGTCAATTCCTAAAGGTTTGAAGAGTCTTTTAGTGATTTCTGAGATATCCTTTATATATGGTAAGGCGATTTTCTTTGTGTTTTCCTTGGTGGCTTTTGTTTTGGTAGGTTGGCTTGGGGGTATATGTCTCTTGATGAAATTCCGGGGATATCCATTCTTTTGGAAGACGTCCATGAGATACTTTTCTTCAATTTTTCTTAAGGTGGGAGTGCTGCAGTGAGTCCTTGCTCTCTTGAATAGTGTTTGTATGCAGTTCCTTTTGTGTGCTATTGGGTTGTTGCTGTTGTAATTCAGTATTTGGTCTGTGTGAGTTGATTTCCTATAAACTTGAGTTTCTAATTCTCCTGTAGTTGTTCGCCTGACTAAGACGTCCAAAAATGGTATTTTGTTCTCGGATTCCTCTTCTCTTGTGAATTTGATGTCGTTGAAGACGTTGTTTATTAAGTTGTGAGTTTTGTCTAATTCGTTTCTTTTGATTATTACAAATGTGTCGTCGACGTAGCGTATCCAAATCTTGGGTTTGATCTTTGGTAGAATTATGTTTTCGAGTCTTTGCATCACTGCTTCTGCAATCAAACCTGATATTGGCGATCCCATGGGTGTTCCTTTGACTTGTTCATATATTTGGCCGTTGAATTGGAAGTATGTTGTTAGGCATAGATTTATGCATTCCATCCAGCTTGTGTGTTGCATTTTTGATTGTTGTGGAAGTTGTTCGTCGTTGCTAAGTAATTGCTCCATGGTTTCTTTTGCTAGTTTTTGTCCGATAGAGGTATATAATGCTGTCACGTCGAAGGATACCATTATTTCTTGTTCATCTATTTGGATGTCTCTGATTTTCTCTAGGAATTGGATAGCAGAGTTGATGGAGTGATCACAGGATTCCGTTAGGTGTTTTAGTTTTCTGTATAATTCCTTGGACAAATTATATGTTGGAGTTCCTGGGAGTGATACAATTGGTCGTAACGGGATATTTGCCTTGTGTATTTTGGGTCTGCCGTAGAATCGAGGTAGGACTGGTCCATTGGATTTCATTCGCCATTGGTCTTGTTTTGTGATCTGTCCAGTTTTGCTGAGCTTGTTTAAGGTCCTTTGGATGCGGTTGTCCAATGTTTGTATGGGATTTGTTGGGAGTTGTTGATATACATCTTCATCTTTGAGTAGTTCTTCAGCTTTCTTGGTGTATTCTTCTCTGTCCATGACTACTGTTGTTCTTCCTTTGTCGGCTGGTAAAATGACGATGTCCTTCCTATTTTTCAGCTTTTTGAGGGCCTTTAGTTCTTGAGAGTTGAGTTGTGTGTGTTGTCTTTTCTGTTTGACCATTGGTACAATTGTTTGGCGTATCTCTTCCTGTGTTTCCTCGTTCAAGTTTGATGATTTGAGTAATGATTCAAGGGCAGCGAAGAAATCAGTTTTTGAAGCATCTCCGGTGTTGTAGTTTAATCCTTTTTGTAGTAGTTGTTGTTCCATTTTTGATAGTGGTTGTTTTGATAGGTTGACTACGCAGTCTATGGGCGTATTGTCTGGTTGTTGTTTTCTAATCTTGGCTAGCTTGGTTTTGAGGACTCTTCGTCTTTGTTCTCTGTGTTTTCCACTTGACAGTGAAATTGCGGTGATCAGCGTTGACAGGTGTTCTTGGTTGAGGGTTTTCTCTAATTTTGCTTTTTGGACATCTATTATTTGTTGATATTTGTTGATCCGATAATGTGCGTCCGTAATCATTAATTTGACCATTCGTCTTCCACATTGTTCGGCCAATTTCCATCCCATTGGGCAGTTGACTGGTGGCTTGTATCTTACACTGTTTGGTAGGATTGAATGACGAAGGCACTCATGGAGAAAGAATAATTGTTCTCTGGTGGATCCTTGCCTTTTGGCGAAGTCTTCCCACTTTCGAACAGAGAGAAGCGTATCCCGCTCGTAAGATTTAGATATGATAGAGAAGATTTGTAGCTCAGGTGGATAATTTTGATGTGGTTTTGTTCTCTGAGCTGGATAGTTAGTTTGCGAAGCTTTCATCACCTTACTGGGTGACATCTTCAGCGCATACTTCAAATTGAAGTGAGCTTTTAGGTTTCTCCACGAGTTTATTAATCATTCCTCCTGGTGACCTTGGACGTGATTGGTTGTTTATGTATGTTTTCACACCTTCTAGGTTACTTGTGTTGGAACTGATTGTTTCTGTGACTTGAACTTTGGCCAATCGTGTGTGAAGTTTCTTTCTTATTGGTTGATAAATTTTGTCTATCTCGATGTGTCTATTGATTGATGATTCACTGGAATGCCAAGCTTCTAAAAATTCTCTAGCATTCTTGTTATTTCCTTTGTCTAATATTTGAACGTTGTCCCAGTCGAATTGATGTCCGTGGTTGTCTGTGTGTAGTGAAATGAGGGAGTGTATAATAATAATAATAATAATAATAATAATAATAATAATAATTGCTTTATTCCAAAAACAGTACTCATGATACAGCAAGGAATTTTCAGCATTCAGTACAATATTGCATCTAATTTACCCAAAAACGACAAAAAAAATTAAAAATACACAATACATAATAGTAATAAAGTAATAGTTGTAGCAGCTACGTAGCAAAATACTGTGTGCCATACGGAGAAAAATATGTATAAAGTACAAAATTGTAGTAATAATAGTAATACCAACTAATATAAAATAGCAGAGTAACGATTTAAACGATAGAAAGTGTAACACCATAAAATACAGAAAGATGAGCGATAAAAGGGTCGATTCACTGTGCTAATTACATAGTAACTTGTAAGTTTCACGTCTAACAGAGTCTTCGTCACATAAAGTACGCGCTAAATAGGGTATTGTAGAATTTCTATACTTAGTAGTACGAGCATATATCTTTTTATATTGACTTCTCGTCCTACCTGATGATATACAAGGGGACAGGTGTGAATAAAGGGGGTGCAGAGGGTCTGACATTATAGCCTTTGCCCATTTCGTACAGGAATTTATATGTCTCTCGACTATAGTATTAGCGAGCTCATGCAGTGGCAGACCACAAGCTCTAATCACAGCATTTAATACTCTTCGTAATATGATATAATCTTTTTTGAGCAGCCCAGGAAAGATTAATGGAGAGCAGTAGAGTACAATAGGTAAAATACAGGAGTTTAAAAATTGCAAAACTAAAGGTTGGTTGATACCTGATTGTCTTAACTTTTTAATGTAGAAGGTAAGACGAAACATTTTCTTAGAGATAGATAAGATATGGGATGACCATGAAAGGTCAGAGGAAAAAACTAGTCCAAGGTATTTAATACTTGATTTGGTTTCAATTTCCGTGCCATCTATGCTACAGGGATCATGAGAGTTAACTAG